AGTTTTACGCTGGACTCAGCAATACTCCAGCTATATGGCAGTGGTCTGTAAATAATCAAGTTTGGACCAGTGAGTGAGTGAGTTTAGTTTTACACCGCACTCAGCCTTATTCCTGCTTTTTGGCGGCAGTCTGTAAATAATCGAGCCTGGACCAGACAATCCAGTGATCAACAGCATGAGCATCGAACTACGCAATTTTGAACTGATGACATGTGTCAACCAAGTTATCGAGCCTGACCATCCGATCCTGTTAATCGCCTCTTATGACATACATGGTTTGATGAAGACCAATCTTCACGGGTTCACCAGACGTACATGACGTCATCTTTGTTTTTGAAACCTTACCAAACAATGTTGTAATTACTGGCAAAACCCTGCTTGCCCACGTAGTGAAAAGGTCTACATGGTTAATACAAGACACTACTCAATTCTAAAGATTAACTCATGTAACAAAACTGGGAATCCGAGGAGTTTTTAGTATTACATTTGAATATGCCTTATTTGGAATTTCCTGTTTTTTATTTCTATGGAAGAACAGTTATTATAGTTCAAAGAATGGCTACTTGCATTAATTTCATGACAAATTTTAAGGTCAGCTGTTGACACCTGTATAAATCTGATGATACACTAATGTCATGATTTACAATACCATATCAACATTTGCTGAAGATAACATAAGATATATCACTCAGAGGCCCAGATAAGCTGTGTATCGGGGTAAAATGCGCATAAAAAATTTCCAATTACGCATTGAAAAATAATTGTTGCGACTACGCATTTAAAATGTCAGTTTAAAACAAATGCGTATGGAATTTATTTATAAAAATAGTTTGCGTAATGAAAAATACATCAATTGCTATCAAGTTGTACTGTTAGTATAGGACTAGTGTTGTACTGTCAGTAGAGGATGAGTGATTTTTTATGAAATCATTTCCATTATATTTAGGTTGGTTTTGATTAGGAATGACATAAGGATGGAACATACCTGCTTAGTAAACTTACTCAATGACATAATATTTAGGTGAGTAAAATGACTGAAATACGCACATATTTGAAAGCAGTGGGTAACAGAAAATGAAATACCCACTCAACAGTCATAATACCCACTCCAAAAAAATACAGTGGGTACAGTACCCACATGAGCTAAATCTTATCTGGAGCTCTGTCACTTATATTTAATTACACATTTGACGGTCAGTTCTGAGAATCATGAAAACACACAATGCCATTTAAAAAGTATGAAATGTAACATGTTATATTTGGGATTACACTTTCTTAGAAAAGTACAGATTCTAGTACTTTTTTGCATGGAGTCTTATAATAATTGCTCACTAAAATGGATGTAACATTAAATGGATGTGATTATTTAGAGCACTATATGAATAATCACAGTTAATTATTTCTGTGTGTTTAGTTTCAAAAGCTATTGGTATAATTATAGGATGGTAGTATAATGTTGATAAATATTTCATAGAATCTCAACTAATACATTCACAGTGATTAGGCTGCAAGTGTTCATATTACATATATAGTACATTTATAAGCCATTGTAAGGTACATTTGTAGCTGAATGTATTGGGGGTTTTAAAGCATAAAAAATCATGGTGTGATTTACCGAAAGCAAATTGGGGTGATAAGGGAACAATGTTATCATTGCACAGATTTCCATAGCCACAACAACATTCAAGGGTAACTGAATGGATGAAATACAAATTGATTGTTAGGAGCACCAAACTGGAGACAAATACAACACTGTAGCGCTGGACTGAACACAACACAAAACTGGACTGAACTCAAGACAAACCTGTATTGCTGGACTGAACACAAGACAAAACTGTACTGCTGGATTGAACACAAGACAAAACTGTACTGCTGGATTGAACACAAGACAAACCTGTATTGCTGGACTGAACACAAGACAAAACTGTACTGCTGGACTGAACACAAGACAAACCTGTATTGCTGGACTGAACACAAGACAAAACTGTACTGCTGGATTGAACACAAGACAAAACTGTACTGCTGGACTGAACACAAGACAAAACTGTACTGCTGGACTGAACACAAGACAAAACTGTACTGCTGGACTGAACACAAGACAAAACTGTACTGCTGGACTGAACACAAGACAAAACTGCACTACTGGACTGAACACAACACAGAAGAACAAAATAACATTGTTTTCTCATTCTAGTTTTACTACAGCATCACTTTAGATGGAAGCAAAGCCTGATGTGATGCAACTCTTGGATGTTTACTATTTAGGTGAAACATATGAGCAAGGGTATGGAAATTTTACTGAGAAACCTTGAAACGGGGCAAACCAGGATTTGTATCCATGATCATATTTTCCTGAGCCCCAAACAATACTCAGGGTCATACTCTACTTGTCTGACAGGAAATGGCAGGGATGATAACTTTGGTCAACCTGTTGTTACGATGAACAACCCCAGATAACCCAATGATTCAATAATTAAAATAATTAATGTTCAAGTTAAAATATACATCCATTAGGGTCTAATTGACCTTTGTCTGATGTCAAACAGAGTAAGCTAGCTAAGGAGTTTGTTTTTGTATAAATTTGAAAAGATTCCATGAAAGAGAACCATAAATTTCCTTTTTCATATAAAATTGACACACAGAAAGAAAACAGATTGTATTGATATGAAAATGAGAAGACTCAAGAAGAAATTGTAATATTTATGTCACTGAGTAGAATCAATGAGGCAATTAAAATTAATCTACTTGAACATATTGTTCAAGCAAATATGTTTATATGCTGTGTTGCAGTGGGGTAGCCTAGTGGTTAAAGCGTTCGCTCTTCATGCTAAAGATCCGGGTTCTATTCCCTACATGGGCACAATGTGTGAAGCCCATTTTTGGTGTCCCTCGCCCTGATATTGCTGGAATATTGCTACAAGTAGTTTAAAACTAAAACACACTCACTTATATGTTGTACATGAGTTTTGACCAATGTGATTATTGGCTGCCTGACAAAAGAGGAGACACCATACTAGGCATGGTGAAGTGAGATCACTAACACTGAGTAACACTATCTAAATATATCTTGGACACTGACTCACATCATAAGGGATTTCCCCAACAGTTACATGACATGAACCACATGTCTGCCTCAGCAGCTGATCAGGAAATGAACAACTTTTCCCCAGTTTCCTTGACAATCATATTGGTATGAGTTTGCTACTTGCAAAGATCACTGGAGGTCAAATACAGTGATGAATGATCCAACCTATAAATGGTACTGTACACAGACAGATTTTATTCGAAGAGAGCAAGAGAGTTGGGTTTTACTCTACTTTTAAACTTATTCCAGTAATATCACTGTAGGGGACACCAGAAATAAAACTAAACTCACTCACTCTGAGAATGAAGCCCTGGTTTACACATTAATTGGGTGCAATAGAGATGATAAAATCACATTCTGTTTGTTTGTTGCTTAACACCATATTATTGCAATATTTCTGGTGTATGGCTGTGACTAAAATATAATTGAGTGAGTGAGTATGGTTTTACGCCACTTTTAGCAATATTCCATTAATATCATGGTGGGGGACACCAGAAATGGGCTTCACACATTGTATTCATGTAGGGAATTGAACCCAGGTCTTCAGCATGATGACCAAATGCCTAACAACTAGGCTCCCATTTGCCCCCCTAAAATATAATTGAATGATTAAACAAGAGACACCTGCAAGTTGAAGTTTGATAGTGGTTCTACTGAGCTATGGTCAGGAATTATGTAGTCATGCAAGAAACGTGCTCCTGTCTTCAGTTTTAAAAGGAGTAAGTGAGTGAGTTAAAATTTATTGTCACTTTGGCAATAGTTTTAAAAGAGTGATTGAACACATACGAACATAACAACAGGGGATACCACATCAAACATGTATCTGGGGAGGTAAAAGGAAGGGCACTTTGTTCCTGATTATGACTGTAGAACCACAATCAAACTTCAACTTACAGGTAAGTCTTGTTTACGTATTCAGTGAACATATACTGAACATAACAACAGGGGATACCACATCAAACATGTATCTGGGGAGGTAAAAGGAAGGGCACTTTGTTCCTGATTATGACCGTAGAACCACAATCAAACTTCAACTTACAGGTAAGTCTTGTTTGCATTTATTCAGTGAACATATACGAACATAACAACAGGGGATACCACATCAAACATGTATCTGGGGAGGTAAAAGGGAGGGCACTTTGTTCCTGATTATGACTGTAGAACCACAATCAAACTTCAACTTACAGGTAAGTCTTGTTTATGTATTCAGTTATTAATTACTAGGAGTGAAACTGTTAACTGCGGCATTTTGCCTTCTGTTCGGTATATTGTAATGCGATCCAAAAATTCAGTATCTTCGTTTTTTGTGCCATCATTTTATTAACCTTTTAACCTTATCTAAAATGTCTAGAAATGGAAACATTTAGTCAAAATCTATGCATTTCTATGCTACACGGTCGCTATTTTCCCAGAAGTAAGCTGTCATATACTGAACCGAAACGGACCGAACTGAAGGCCTTATACTGCAATACATACTGTACTGTGGTAAGAGTGTACCGATTCATCGCTATTATTTACTCAGTGGTGAGAGAACATAATGATTCAAAACAGAAAACGTGACCAAATCTTTGAAGACACATGTGAACGGTACTGTTCACCTGCTAAAAGCTAACGGCGCACTGTAGACAAGAGCATGCGGTGCTTCTCACGTGACTACGAACTGACGTCACGACTATGACAAGGTAGAATGGAGTCAATATCATGAACTGTTGGGGTACGATGAAATACACAGACGTCCACCCAATACACAAAGTTGCCAATTATAACTAGCAAGCATTGCAGGGAACCAGTTCTTAACTCAGAACCCAACAATTCATATTTTGTAACCGCCATATAGCTGGAATATTGCTTGGTGTGGCGTAAAACTAAACTCACTCATATTTCGTTGGGTCATCAAATGACCATGTTAACTTACATGTGATGAGCCATCATGGAAAGAGTGGCTGTTGGCTATATTAGCTAATGGCTGTCGATATGGGGACTGAAATTGGTATCCACTGCTGATCTCAGCATTCGACTTCTTGTGGCGTTTGTCCTGTAAGGAGGAAAATAAGAATTTAGTAGAGATAGAATCTAAGCATTTGTTGGATGTTGTATTTCTTTAGGAACTGAAAGTCTTCTTTAGGCAATTTTGGAGCTAACACCTTTCTCTTTTTGGCACATACAGTTCCCATGAATTCATATTGAATCATATCTGGTCATCATCAGCGTTCGAAATGCCTGCCTGCCTGACCACCCGGGATGGGTTTTTTTCATCACGGACTGCCAGATTCTCAAATTCACCTGCCCGTCGGTCGGGTAAAAATTGACATGTAGTATGAAGATATTTTGTGGGCAGGTAAGTTTTGGTCAGGGCTGGCAAGTTTTACATACAACCAGCCCTGTGGCCTGGCTGAAATTATTTGGGAGTTTCATACCCTGTTATAATGCTATAAATGAAATAAGTCATAAACTAATCTCAAATGTGTCTTAACTGACTCCTATTTGTCCGACAAATGTTTAATCTGACATGCTTGGAACCACGAAAAGTATTCTCGTTAGAGCCAATGGAGAAAACTCTAATAATCATATTTCATTAATCAATTGTCATAATTTTATTAAATCTATCCCTCTTTATGCAAAATGGCCAGACAAATTCAGATAGAATTCTGTAATTACAATCTACAGTCTATCATGTGTCACTACACTGACCCAATCAACATTCACACCTGATGTCCAGCCAAGATGGCATAATTCCAATTAACCTAATCAGACCAACTGCTTGTTCATTAAACAATCAATCTGACTGGATAAACAACTGATAGGATTAACAGCTGTAAATTAATCAAAAGCCTTCATCTAAATCCAGCTTATTGAAGTTGTTGATTGTATCATACTAAAGACATAAATACATCTTTGATAATACCAATGTAACAAGAATACCTTGACTGTTCGAGGTGATTCCAATTCATCACTTTGCCGCTTTTGTACAATTCCATTCCTTTGGCTTGGTGCTTGACTTCGTCGCTGAAATACAGGATCTCTCTTAAAATGGAATACTGTATGTATGGGGACTAAAAGATTCAGGGGGAAATAAACAGTATTACTTAATCAGCTTTGTTCAAATAATGTGACATTAACTTTCAAAATTACAAATGTTTCTTGGAATCCAGTCTGATGAAAAACTAACTGTACCTACTGACTAACAAGTTGAGGGCTAAATAGTTAATGTGGATGGTATTTGGTCAAGATAAAATTTTATTTTCCATTTCAGGCTACAGGCCCATAGAATATACATAACACAAACATAATACTTATTCATGAATAGGTTATGACACATGGATATTAAATCAGTGATAATTGAGTGACTCTCACATTGATTACAAAATTTCCATATGATGGATTAGTGTAGAAAAATTTATTGATAAAATGTTGCCATTATACTGAATATGAATTACATATAAGTAAGAAATTATGTTCATTTTTGATGAAATTTAAACCTAATCTTTGGCATTGTGGGCATGCATAATCTTTTGGTTTCTTCTGTATTAGTATGACATCCAGTTTTGATCATAAGTTTATGGCTGCTGCAGCGGAATCTTGTTAACGTTTTTTGATGGGTCTTCTTAACTAATTGCTGAAGGCAAGTTCCTGTATCTGATTTGAAAGTTGAATATGTTTTAAGTTTCCATTTTTTAGATATGTTTTCAATCCACCGCTGTTGACCACAGTCCACCGCTGTTGACCACAGTCCATGGTATGTTGTTTGAATTGTGAAATAAATATTTGAGGATTTCCTGCATCTTATATTATCCAAATATATATTTGAAGAGAATGTTCTTTACATACGTTGCCCAAGATATATGGCCAGCTTCATCTAATCTATACGTCATTAAATACATTTGCTTAGGTAGACAGCCAGTGTTCATAGAGATGAATTTTGTCCAATATTTAATACATTTAGTGATACAATAAACATACAACTGTTGTCTTCCAGTTTCCCCAAGAAATGAATGGTATTTCTCATTAAGTGTATCTGTCTATGCAAAACAACTTTGAGCTGGTCTACAAGTCCAAACATTGTCCCTTAGATCACTGTCAGTGGATAATAGTGTGAATATATGAACTCTTAGTACCTGAGCTCACATGAACTAACATAAATGCTCTAGAATAGGTTTGTCTACTGTATTTGACAGTATTTGTCACAAGCAAGAACAGAAAAATCATTTTACCACTTACAACAAATACAAACTGCTTCATGTAAATCAGGTCTATCAATATTTGCCAGTATTTGTCACAAGCAAGAACAGAAAAATCATTTTACCACTTACAACAAATACAAACAGCTTGATGTAAATCAGGTCTATCAATATTTTTATGACAGTCCACTACTATTTGTACATATAAGTGATTGTATCAAAATTTGAGTCCAAGTGGGTACTTAGGGCCTACATGTTTGTTTGTAGAATGGATGTATGACAAATCAGGATGTTTTCATGTCACCTAATATTCTACATGTGGCTTGATCATGGATCTATGTCATCGCGTGTTCTGGAATTCCACTCTATCTACAAATGGAAATCGCTCGTCACTGATGTAGGAAGTGCGTGGGATGTGCTTTCCATTTATATAAACCCATCAAACCGACCTCTTACGCAATACAACTTTCAACTTCACTCCGGCATAAGCCACCACATTCGCTTTACTACGCTTGGTCAGAAGTAGCATGACTTAGGGTGACTGCGTTGATTCCAAAGTTTACTCATTCAGAGAAATTAGGAGTCATTTTTATGATCTGGAAATCACGAAATTCTGAAATATAGGGAAACAAGTGATTGACACAAAGTGGGAAGTAACATAACCTACCATTTTGACAAATTTAAATCCTTATTTGACAGGTTTCAAATTTACTCAAAACTTCGTAAGCCTGTACATTTCTTGGGATATCGCCATTCTTGTCATCAGTGATAGTTTCATCAAAAATTCTATTTTTTGTAAGGGTGTTTCCCCAACTGCTTTCGTAGTGGGCCGCCATTCCAGTGGAGATTTCCTTCGTCGGTTTCACCAACCAATCAAACAGTTTTCAAGTAAGATATCAACCAATCAGAAATAAGTACGAAACATAGTGATTGGAACGGCTTTCCTCGAGAGGGACGACGCTGAATGTGGGTCACAGGGTGAAGGGGAGGAAATCACATGGAAATGGTCAAATATTTCATCACCGCTCGGGTATTTGACCATTAGATGGATAGCAAAAGCAAGTCAGAATAAAGAATGACCCAGGAATTGAAGCTGCATAGTCCGGCTGGGGCTGAGCCAGCGGTCTATCAGTGGCCCATCCCTGGATCGGTAAGCAATGTGTGTTGACCGTCGATTCACGATACCCAACGCAAAGTAAATACACTGAGAAATACCCCTTTGATGGGAAATATCTCTCGAAATTTACATTATATGTAAACTATATTATGTGTTTTATTTGTTCCAGGACGGACGAGACGGAGCACATGAGATTATTGATACGATAAGGTAAGACATCTCACTTGTCTGTTATTGCTCTGGGCCGATTTTTTTTCTGTGCCAATGACCTGCGACTTACTGACACGCGATGCGAGTGGACACTGGTGTGTTTCTTGGTCTGGTTTTATTGTGGAAAGAACGTGCTTTGTTCAGGCAATCTTGGATGCAATAATGTCGGTTATGGTCGAAACAAATTACGAACGAACATTCCTCTAAAGAGGTGCATACGTGTTCGTTCCCTTATGGGTATGCAGTGCTTACAAATGCATGCACTTGCTAACAGAACAAGCCTTCTGAGTGGAAGTAATGTATGGGATTTTTAACCTACTTTCCACGTAGTACGCCTGTACAGTTAACTAAAAAATGTCGGTAACTTGAACCTCAGTTCAATACACTTCAACACTATAAACCTATGATTTGTCAGAATGAAAGTGAAATGTAAATTTGTTGAATTTATTTGTGTATTGAACAAAGGATTGCCGCGAATTTGAGGCACAGTGACCCTAACTCCTTATTTGGAAAGTTGATTGACAGATGATAACTTCACGCAGGTCATGGTCGGGTCAGCACACCAGGTGCCTTTCAATGATTGTTTTGTGAATGACAAACTTTTGACATAGTGTTAGATCATAATTCACTTGTCATTGTTCGATTTTAAGTAAATGATATATGTTTTTGCTTTGACCCAATTTGGTAAAGTCAGTTGAATTATGACATGCTTTTATTTTGGAATGTATTCATTTTATGAAACTACAGTGGGAAGTACATTGAAAACAGATGAAACATATTTTGTGACTTGGTTTACATGTAAGTTTGCCTTCAAACCACCAGAAATGAATCTGCTAATGTATAATATAAAGCTTTGGAAGAATATACAGCCAGACTTAAAAGCACACAATACTTTTACTGTTACTTAAGGAGTCATCCTGATTTAGTCTCACCTGACTTGTGGCTTTCGACATGACAAGTTAAATGTTTGTGTTGTTTTCATGTTGATTTCATTACAAACGCGTGTGTAGGTTGTCAGTTAATGAATGTTCTTCCTAAAAAAAACAACTGGTATACTGGTAAAGGTTTTGTGAAATCCAACTCACTGTTAAATATGTAGACTGAAAAGGAAAACAAGGTACAAATATGTTAATTTTATCAAACTCATTGTAATCTCATTGCTATCATCATGATTATGTTTGTAATTTGGGTGACAAAATCAAAGCATGAATTGACTCAAATTTCTTGTGGTCTAGTATGATCAGCTAAAGCCAACCATATACTAAGACTAAAATCCCAGAAAAAATGCCAACATTTAAGTCCAGACAAGTAGACTGAAAGGTTTAGGCGCATATTGTCATGGTAATTGTGGGCTTTTGTTTACTTGGAGAATTAATGTTGTACGTTTTCCCCTTTTTCCTCATAATAACCATTGTTGATAATTGTATATACACTGTATGACTGACACAATGTATGACTGACACAGAATATTCACTTTGTTCGCCTAAAACTGAATGACGTTTGAAACTAAGTACTTATTTCAGTTCCCTAACTCAGACAGGTTTTCCAAAATTAATGTAGATTTCAGCAGAAGGAACTTTTGCATCCTTGTTTTAGATATGTGTCCCCAGAGAAAGTTGAAACCCATGGACAGATGTAGAAGATTTGCTAATAGATTTTGAACCGGAATTTTGCCATGGGGAAAAATTAAAACTGCAGTCCTTTTCCAAATTTCCGCATTTCCCCAAATAACATTAAAGTAATCAATAGTTGCCGAATTCAGGATTATTCATGTTTTACTTCATTAATCAGACACAAATGATGCCAGTTGTTGTTTAGAGTGGTAATGGCTCTTATAGCAGTGAAACTATTGTATTTAAATCGCCACTAGGCTAGTCAATGGTTGCTAGGCACCCAGTAAACACTTCTGATGGCAGAGATCCTTCAGTTGAAAGAGGTCTTTCAGTACTGGGATACACCAAGTGCAGTACCTGAAAGTCATTTTTCTAAGGTTTCTCTTTTTTGCCCAACAGGAAAGCATGTTGAATGTGCTGGTAGAAATTTGTGATTTTGATAAGGATGAATGTTTTCATGGAACACTTACGGCTTTACAGGGAAGTAGGGAGGGTATTTTTAGATATATTTCTAACAGTGAGGTCAACCAGTAAGGTCAAATTCCACATACATGATATGACATGCCCTGAACAAATTTTGTGGTACGTGCAGGAACTGAAATATATCTCAATATGGGAAGTGGAACCACAGACGTGGAAATGTGGGCATGTTTGATTTGTTTTCATGGTATTCATAATATTTTAGGAAATTTATTTTGCAGTTTCCTCATTTCTAATGAGGAAACAGGATATAACTTGAATCAAGTAGAGAGGCTGTACAGATGATTAATTTTAAGTGTTGGAGAAACGAAAATGAGGCATGTGCTGGTGATAAACAAAATTTTGACAAGTGGTGGGATGCATATTCATATATAATTTGCATTTAGTAGTAGTAATTCTTACTATCAGCTGTAATATCAGTGTTCAATAGTTAAATATGAAAGTCTGTGGGTCAAATCTCATGGGAAATTCTTGACTGCATATATTAGAGCATGAGCATACCTTCAGGGGTACAATAACACAAATACTCTGGCCACAATGTTTACCCAAAGTGAGCATACCTCCTGGGGTACAATGACATGTATACCCAAGCCACACTGTTTACCCCAATAAGTATACCTTCAAGTGTACAATAACACAAATACCCAAGCCACACTGATTACCCCAAGTGAGCATACCTACAGGGGTACAATAACACGAATACCCAAGCCACACTGTTTACCCCAATTTGGTATACCTTCAAGTGTACAATAACACAAATATTCAAGCACTGTTTACCCCAATTAAGTATACCTTCAAGTGTACAATAACACAAATACCCAAGCCACACTGATTACCCCAAGTGAGCATACCTAGAGGGGTACAATAACACGAATACCCGAGTCTCACTGTTTACCCCAAGTGAGCATACCTTCAGGGGTACAATAACACAAATACCCGAGCCTCGCTGTTTACCCTAAGTGAGCATACCTTCAGGGGTACAATAACACAAATACCCGAGCCTCACTGTTTACCCCAAGTGAGCATACCTTCAGGGGTACAATAACACAAATACCTGTGCTTCGCTGTTTACTTCCAAGTGAGCATACCTTCAAGTGTACAATAACACAAATACCCAATCCACACTGTGTACCCCAAGTGAGCATACCTTCAAGTGTACAATAACACAAATACCCGAGCCTCGCTGTTTACCCCAAGTGAGCATACCTTCAGGGGTACAATAACACAAATACCCGAGCCTCACTGTTGACCCCAAGTGAGCATACCTTCAGGGGTACAATAACACAAATACCCGAGCCTCACTGTTTACCCCATGTGAGCATACCTTCAGGGGTACAATAACACAAATACTCAAGCCACACTGATTACCCCAATTAAGTATACCTTCAAGTGTACAATAACACAAATACCCAAGCCACACTGATTACCCCAAGTGAGCATACCTTCAGGGGTACAATAACACAAATACTCAAGCACTGTTTACCCCAATTAAGTATACCTTCAAGTGTACAATAGCACAAATACCTGAGCCTCACTGTTTACCCCATGTCAGCATATATTCAGGGGTACAATCACACAAATACCCGAGCCTCACTGTTTACCCCAAGTGAGCATACCTTCAGGGGTACAATAACACAAATACCCAATCCAACTGTTTACCCCATGTGAGCATACCTTCAGGGGTACAATAACACAAATACCCAAGCCTCACTGTTTACCCCAAGTGAGCATACCTTCAGGGGTACAATAACACAAATACCCGAGCCTCACTGTTTACCCCAAGTGAGCATACCTTCAGGGGTACAATAACACAAATACCCGAGCCTGCCTCGGCTGTTTACCCTAAGTGAGCATACCTTCAGGGGTACAATAACACAAATACCCGAGCCTCACTGTTTACCCCAAGTGAGCATACCTTCAGGGGTACAATAACACTAATACCCGAGCCTCGCTGTTTACCCCAAGTGAGCATACCTTCAGGGGTACAATAACACAAATACCCGAGCCTCGCTGTTTACCCCAAGTGAGTATACCTTCAGGAATACAATAACATAAATACCCAAGCCACACTTGTTTAGTGTTTACCCCAAGTAACTGTATCTTCAGGGGTACAATAACACAAATACCCAAGCCTGACTGTTTACCCCAAGTGAGAATACCTTCAAGTCTACAATAAACACAAATATCCTCACTCACCTACAAAATACTCGGACCACACAGTGTAACCTTGGTTACTTGTAAGTTTCTCTAATGACTTTTTATGTCTTGATATATGCTAGCAGTATACAAGGTACTGAGAAACAATGGTCAAGATGGTGTCCACTCGGACTGGCGAAAATTGAAATTTTATAAATTCGATGTTTCGGGTATTACGTAAGGAGGTAATTAGGCGTTAACATTTTGGCGTATGTCTCTTCTTTTTTGTCGAATTTTGTATGAATGAGATATTTAATGAGTGGTTTAATCAATTTGGGGTTGTTAGAATGTGCTTGGAATTGGTGTTTGTGCCATATCTTGAAATATTTCGCAGCCATAGGGTAATTTAGATTTGATGAGTGATTTATATAATAGTAGTAATGTTTGTTTGTTGCTACCCCATTTACTATGTGATAGGTATTTAATAATGATGAGATCTGACTAGCATTTTCTTGTATGAATTGAGTGTTTGTTCCACGTTAAGTGCTGGTTTTCATTAACCCATATTGCTCCATCGTCGGCAAACTGGGATTTGTTTATGTTTTTACTGAGGTCAGAGGTTGTTGAATATATCATCAGATTTGATGGTCTATGGAGACCTTAAAGTCTCTGTCTGTTAGATAGGCTGATGCAAAATTTAGAAGTGCCCCTTTGAAACCTTTTTTTTGCGAAAGCCTGATTGAGTTTTATTATATACATTTTGTGTTTCAA